TTTTTGGTTAGCGTACAGTTTTACATTAACAACAAAATTACCATCATTAGGTGACCTAACTGTATTTTCCCAGTATTTAAAAATGATTGAATGAATCACTAAAAAACTCTACCAGGCAGATCAAAGCATCTGCAGAAAAGCCATCAKTCTATATTAAATTCTATTGAATTGGTTCCAAAATTATGAGTAGTCTTTACGAAACAGATTGGTACTTAATGTCTGCTAATCAAGCAGGAACCTAATATTCCAATCTATTGACAGACTTTGCCACCTTCTTACCTGTTTCAGTATCTCGATGTCAATCCTGAAAGGACTGACATACTGAGAGGTATTTTCACTAAAAATKACTTCTGTTTTAAGCTGAAACAACATTGTGTGTACCACACTGCCTCAGTGCAGTGCTGCAGATGTACAGATAGTCATGTTATAATCTTGTCATGTTTCAGAACCATGAAGTCTATATTCATAATGAGCAAAATAAATAAAGCTTATCCTTTTTTTTTCCTTATGTATTTCCATATTGCTTTGATGAATCTAAAAGAAATGCAAATCAGCATTTCATACAGAAAGTGCCACACTCAGCTCCGCACCTTACCCTGTGGCCAGGAAATACTTGATATTCCATGATCCTYCACATGGCTGAGCTGCTGCTGTCATACATGATGTGGAGGTACTTGAGAGCTTGTAGTTGTTAAAAARCTCCCAGCAGACCTCTTTGGGGAGCACAAATTGCTGTTTCCAGGCAGCATKACAGAAATCAGTACAAAAGTACTTGCCATTAATCACAAAATCTCCTATTCCAATAGGAATTTTATTGTTGTGAAGCATTAAAAGTCAAACTGTTACCAGGATCATGGTTACTTGGAATTACCTTCGTGAAGTTAACAGAGCACAGCAATTTATTCTTAGAGCAGAAGAATGATCTATTTTGGGGTATAGGAAGATTGCACTGCAATCTTTTAAGCTTATTTTGATGYATACGATGGCTTCATTGAAGTCAAATGAGGATCAAGGTCTGCACAAATTCCAGTATAGTTTTGTACAGAGGACTACAAAGGAAGGGCTGTAGGGAAGATTAACAGTAAATGTTGCATATCACAAAACCAGTAAGTAGGTGGTTGTCTTTGAACTTACTGTGAGAGAATACATTTTATATCAACAGCCATCAATGACAGAAAGACCCAAATAAAAATTCATGGTAATCACTGCCTACTGAACACAGTTGTTTTCAAACAACTGCTCTCTCACTGAACTTCTTTACAACACTGTTTTGGCATAAATATCTTTCCAACATCTTTTATCTCATAGACTTCTCTTAATAGTTTTMTGAAGTATTTTAAGTACTTTGTGCAATTAGTAAGCCTAGTTAAGCCTTATTTGTACACTTGATTTCCTTTACCCATGCTGGCAAGTCCAAACGACATTCACTGCTATGGAGTGAATAGCGTAAACATGAGGTAAAGCTTTAGATAGTTGAATTCTACACAATTCAATTCACAGTTGAGTCCTTACAATGMCACAAAAAACTATCAGCTACTGCACAAAGAAAGAAGCAAGCACAGTATGAAAAAMAGTAGACTACTATTTTAAATATTTCCTGCACACTCCAAAGACAAGTCCTAGATTTTCAATAATGTATGACATGACTATTCCATTTTTTCTCTACACTGCCTTAATTCTACAGAAAGAGAGACTGGTCTGCCCAGAAATAACATTATCTGATGTTTCAATGACTAACAGATTAGTTTATAATAATCTTGTAGATCATGAAGAATGAGCATCAGGTTGGATTAAGCAGGACTTGTTTGACCTGTTCAGCTAGAGGTGGACTCTTTCAATTTGATTCCAGCCTGCAGTGTGAAGCAAAAGGTTCATCCAGAAAACCATGAGCCCAATGCCTACRTTCCAAGTTAAAATAATTTTCAGGGTATATTTTTCTATATAAGCAACTCCTAACTAAATAATAGTTGTCATCTCCAACTACCTCAAATCAAGAGTTCATTACTGCATTTTCCACTTATATTCCTAACTTTGACCTTGGAACAACTCCTAAGACAGTGAGCAGTAATTCAGTCTCCTGACTACCTCATTCTAAGAGAATCTCTCCAGAGAGCAGGCTGCTAAAGGCAGTTTTGTATTTGACCCAGTACTAGAACAACAAACTCCATTTCAGTTTGAGTTACAGTTTGGGTTTGGTCCAGGACTACAGATGGCATCAAATGCAGTTTCCTTTCTTGTAAAATCACATATCAGMAGCATTTCTACCTTGGGGAAGGTGGCATTTTCAAACGTGCTCATCACTGATCTTCCTCTCCTTCTTTCCATACATTTCATAAGGGAAAAAATGCAGGGGAGGGGTGGTGGGGTGGGAAATGAACACACAACATCCAAATGTTTCTCATAATTGAAAAATTTAAAAAAAAGAGAAAGAGGATACCCAAACTGGCGTTAATCCTATTGATGGTGCTCAAACAGGTAACCTTTTCAGGTCTCAAAGTTTCTTTCAGCATAACAACTATTTGGGAAAGAAACCTTATCATTTGGAAAAGAAACCTTATCATTTCTACAGTTAACAGGGAAAGGTTCAGTAACKAAACCTGTTATAGCATTCTACCACTGTTTCTCAAAAACAATATATAGTAATGTGCTTGAGAGGTCTAACTTGTTTTAAGATTATTTAAAATTCTGTATTCAAAATGACTACATTATTTGCTATGAATACTCAATTTCTCTTGTGTTTTATGAATCCTTGTAGCTTCCTYAAAATGTACTATACAAAATAATTCATAGAAGCATCACTATGAATAATGGCCACAYTGGCAAATTTTGACTGGATTCACAGGTTGCTGTGATAATAATGTTTCTTTCCTGTGACTGGTGAATGGAGAAGGAGAATGGCTAACTAATATCCTGTGTTCAGTCAAAGAGTCGTTGATCTAGATAAAGTGTTTTTCTAATTCTGTTTAGTTAAAGTGACAGAAATCTTAAYGGGACTATGTTTAAGCTGACTTAAAACTGATTTACACTGAATTTGTTTGATTTGATTAGTTACTATGAACACAGATGAGGCATGAGATCCAGTAACAGATATTTGTGCCTGATTGTGATCCCATAATACCAGACTTAGCAGAGTCAAGCTTGATTTCATTACCTGCAGCAGTAGGCAAATGAAGATGAGGCCCCAGATGATGTTTTATACATATATATATATATATATATATATATATGCATGTGTGTTTGTATGTATACATATCTATTTGGTTATACAAATATGTCTTTCCATTAATATCCCTCCTACTACGTTCCCCTGTCAAGAGAAATTCCCCTGTTGAGGAGTTGGATTCGATAATCCTTGTGGGTCCCTTCCAGCTCACTATATTCTATGATTTTATTAAATCAAAGGTAGAAGGTGGAAAATTCTCTTCACCTTAGACAGTATAAATTTCATGAGTTTGAAATAATTYAGGTAATTGTATTGCAAAGATGACTAAACATAATGGTGCATTCTTTACACATTCAGCACAATTTGTACAGCAGAGGTTCTCAGCAGTCAAATTGGAAGCCTAGCATATAAAGATGTCTCCAGRAGSGCAGGTGGTAGCAGGAAGGATTAATCTGGTCCTGACCTGTCTGATGGAGGAACAGGGACCGGGAATGGGTGRCAGCAGATGGGAGTCTTGTTACTAYCCTTCCAYTCCATGTTCTCAAACTGACCCAATGAGGTTCTCTCCCCCACCTTGTCTATCAGGGTCAAAGCTGCTACCCCACAGCCCAATCCTGTTGTCCTTTGTAAACCCACTTTGGTCCTCAGGCAAAGTATGCAGTAGGTWGTACTGGGCTGAAGAGTGACTGACAGATCTACAGCCTGCAGTCCTCTTCACTCACTTCACCCCTGCATAACAGAGCCTCAACAAACACTCTTCCAGTTTTACCATTCCCTTCCAGCTTTCCCCTGATGACAAAACAGACCCCTCAACATTCATCACCCCTCAGCTCAGCTATCAGCTCTCAGATCCGCACAGCGGGTGTCATCACCTGGCACCACCACATCCTGCTGCCGAGAGTTGCCTTCTGCAGAGACATTCCCCAGCGTTAAACTAGGCTGGTTCCAACTGTAGTAAGGTCAAAAGAAAAAAAAAAGAAAAAAAAATGAAAAGTCAAAAGTCCCCGAACCCAAGAAAAAAAAAATCTATCTCCCAAACTGTCCTGCGAAAGGCGGCGCCTGCCAGGGCGTTATTCGACGGCAGCCGCAGGCCAGCGGCCGCAGCCGGGGGTTTCGGGCAAGAGCAGCCCGGCAGGTGAGGCAGGCGGACCGCGGCCAGGGGCCGCCTCAGCCYCACGGGGCACCCAGGGCCCTGTGCCGCTCCGCTCCTCGCCTCGCCTCGCCTCGCCTGCTCAGCGCAGTCAGCCGGGCCGCTCCGTCCGCGGCGGGGGCAGAGAGCTGTTGTTGGACGGTAGAACTGCCCGCCGCCCCAGTGCCRGCTCCCYTTTTCTTTTCYTTTCCTTCCCTTCCCTTCCTGCCGGCGGCGGCCCCGCGGTGCCTCCCGGCGCGGGCGCGCGGTGCGTTCGTTACCTGGCGCTCGGCGGCGGCTCCTTCCTCACCTGTGCGCGCCTCTGCCAATGGCAGCGCACCTGGCGGCCGCGCCGCCCAATCAGCGCGCGGCTCGTCCCTCTCCCCGCTCCTTTAGTGAAAGAATCCAGCGTCGCTCGGGAAAGTTACCTGTGCGCGCCCGGCCCGGCCGCTCTCCCGTGCCGAGCCCCGCCGGCGCCCCAGCCCCGCCGCTCCCCACATGCCAGGGGGAGGGGGCTCTACCTGTCCTGCCTCGGCGGCTGGCTGCGGAGCCGGGAGAGGGGGGGAAGGAAAGCAGAATTACCAGTAGCTCTGGTTCTGCCGTCCCGGGCGTTCACACGCACACCTTCACCTGCACAGACCTGAAAGTCCAGTTCCGCCAGGCAGACGGAGGCACCGGGAAAAGGGGAGAGAGTTCATTGGATCAAACATGTCACAAGAGACGGACAAGTAAGTGATCGCAGGCACGCCGCTGCGCCCGCTGCGCGGGGCGGCCCGCCGGGCTGGCCGTGTTCCCCCTCGCCCGTGGCGGACTCGGACCCGCCGGGACGGCGCTTCTCCCTCCTCTCCCTCCTCCAGCGACGCCGGACCGGGCGCACAGACACTCCGGAGCGCCCGAGGACAAGGCTGCGGCTCGCGGCCCCGCACCTCGCTCTCCGCCTGGCCGTGGGGCTGCACGATTATTTGTTTAATTCCCCTTTTAGTTTAGGATTTTTTTTTTATTTGTTTGTGTTGTTTTGTTTTTCCCTCCTCACTTCGAGGGTCGCTTTTCGTGACGGAGAGCTCCTGGCCCTGGAAGAGCGGAGCAGCCTCCGCCCGCCGAAGGCCCCGGACGTAAAGTGCTTCTTGGCTTTTGTGTTGGCGCAACAAAGGGCTTTTATCCCCAAAGGGCCGGGCACGGCCATCTTCCTCCCCTCAGCTGGGGCCAGGGGGCCCGAGCGGCGGGAGGAAGGCCCTGGCTCGGCCCAGGTGCTCGCCGGCCGCTCCATGCGGCGCCTTCAGCCTCGCCGTCCTGACCTTGTTTTCCCGGCGGGACGCCCGGGCGGGCCCGCRGCTGCCCGGAGACCGGCGGGGTTAAAAAGTAACTTTCTCAGTAGCGGGGCCGAAGGAGAARGATGAAGGAGAGAGGGAAGCCTCTCGCTCCTGCGGGCCCCGGGCCTGCCGCATCCCCTCTCCCACCTGGGCCTGGCGGTAGCGAGGCCGGGACRGAGCGGCGGTGCGGGGGTACTCCCGTTGTCTCCCGGGGCCGYCGGCCGTGGTGCTTGGTCCCCTCTCGGGACGCGCAGGATCGCGGCGAGAGGCACGTTCGGTGTCTCCGGTACGGGGAGCGCCGTCAGGAGCCGTCGGTGGGTGCGGAGGTCGCGGCGTGCGCCGCTCCTGCCACCCCAGCTCCGGCAGCGCCCCGTGGCGGGCGGCCCAGGCCGGGGATGGGTTATTTCCCCCCGGTAAACAACTCGCACAGGCGATGCCGCGCTCCCGCCATGGCGGCGGGTGGCTCGGCGTGGCGCTCAGAGCCGCCGTGAGGCAGCCAGGCGGGAAGGCCATTTTCCCTGCTCGGGTGATTAGTGTTTCTGCAGGAGGTGGCTGGGGAGAGTTAGGGGGTAGGGAAGATGGAGGGCGGGAGGTGGCACTTTTGTTTTACTGCTGCCCCGGTGCAGGTAGGAGTGCCCCAAACACGGGTGTGATCTCGGCTACGTTTGGTGTTGCTCAGGTGCCAGCCCTGGTTGGGCTCACCAGAGCCTTTGTGCCTAAAGGAGGTGGAGAGGAGGAGCCTGATGGTGGAGAGAGAGGCTTGGTGACAACCAGCCTGTCAAGGAGTGAAAGAAGGAGATTACCCGACAAAAGAAAACAGCAGGGTTGGCTACCSTCATAGAGGAGAGAGAAGACGGTTCAGAGGGGAAAATTAAACGAAAATATTAGGCCTAGCCTTTTCAAACATCAACTGACAGTGGGATTGTACGAAGGTAGCTACTGACATGAAATGGAACTGATTTCTTTAGGARTTGAGAGTGAAGTTTAAGAGTTCATTTGAACTGGGATGGGAGCTAATGCCTTAGGTGGCCAGATTAGAGCACTAAATGATTTAAGGAAAGGAATAAGGACAGAGGAGCCCTGAGGGGTGCCGGTGAGTGAAGGAGCAGCTGAAAGAGCAGCCGTTCAGTTGGGAGGGCAACCAGATTAACTGTCGAGGAGCTGACAAGCAGTGATGGAAGGCATCCCAAAGGACGGGCACTTCCAGAACTATACGAAGTTAGTTACTAGTTACGAAGTTAGTTAGTTACTTCCTGGCCAAGCCTAGTTGCCAGTAGTTTTAGCAGCCAGAAACTAGGCTGCGGCAGATCAAGGGCAGTTAATGGGAGTGGGAGGAGAATATGGAGAGATGGGGGGGAGGGGGGGGGTGTCTGAAGAACAGCTTTGCACCATAGTCAGCTTTGTATTAGGAAAACCTAGATCATGTAAGAAACTCGGTCAAAAGTGGTTTCCCTCTGGGTTGGGAATGCTATTGGGCTGCTGGACTATGCTKCCTTTCGAACAGGAACAATATGGCACACGTGTAAGCTACTGAGGCTGGAGCATTAAATGCTCTTCATTCCCTGCTCTGCGTAATGCTGCTGCTGCTCTTACCACTGTGAGGAACTTAAGAGCAGTGCAGAACACACAACCTCAAGTAACAGCTCTTGCCCCATTGCAGGTATGCCTGTGATCTGCTTCTGCTGAAGGTGTTTATAAAATTCATAGGTGATAGGTAAGAGTTTGAAAAGGAAATTAAGAGTAAAGAAATCCCCTGTGCTCTCTGTGTGCAAGTGTAACGTGAGAAGACAAATACATTTGTTTCCAGAAGAGATGACCAGATGGAATGAGATAATAGACTGGTGTGAGGAGTTTGCATGGGAAGGTTTTTGGTGGTTTTTTTTTTTTTTTTTTTTTTTTTTTTTTTGTTTTAGAAGTGTGGTGTTTTTTTTTTTTTTTTTTTTTTTTTTGGCTATAATTATATCCAATTAGAACCTAATCCAGAGAGTACATTATTCTCCTCCACATGGTCCTTCTTTTACTTAAAACCAGGTCTTCCCTACAGGCGAGATGGGAGAATGGAGCTCATTATTTCGAGGTCAGTTAATTTGTCAGAGTCATTGGGTGTGTTTTTACAGGGCTTGTGCTACTGAAGTGCTGGTGTAGAGGACTAAGGAGTGGAGGGGATATGGAAAAATACRTTCTATGGGACTTGCTGGCTTTTCTGGAGAGGTCGTAGACCCTGCTGCACTAGTACACAGACCTGCCTGCAGTGTCCCTCTTTGGATGTAGCWGGGGAAGAGGTTCTATTGTGCTTTAAGGGAGGAGGGTGGACAGTTAGGTCCACAGGTGCAAGAAACCACAACATGATTGATTCTAATGCTAACTGAAGAGCTTGGAAGGGGAGATTATCCTTAGGATAGGTATTCTATCTCCCTGTCTTTCCTTTAGTCCTTCTACCTAAGCTGGGTCTTGCCTCTTGCTTCCACAAACTCTAAGGTCAAAAAAAAAAAGGCATGCATTTTTCAGAGGTAGTACCGACTTAAGCAGGCTGTGGCCATTTGTTCCTACCTCTGTTCCACCCTCTCAGTTGTTTGTGCAGCTAAAGACCTGGCTCAGAGTTAAGGAGGTTATTTTTGACATCTGTTTTTTATGGGTCTCAGTTCATATGCAGCGGGGGTGCAAGCAAATGGCAGGTGTTGAGAAAATAACTGTTCAAAACTAGAATCTCTGCTAGAGGGAAATGCATGTCCRTGCCACTTTATGAGTGTTGATTATTATCCAATTTCCAGATCCTTTGAAGGGAACGTGGGGATTGATGAAGGCTGGGGGACAGGGTGGGAGGATAGAACAACCCTTTTGCAGGGTGAAAAGATGATTCCAGGGTACACTTCAGCATTTATAGGCTAAAGTTGTTCTTTTATGTTATACAAAAAAACCTCCACAGTGATGGCTCTAGAGCATTAGTGCAAAGATTAGGAGCAAATCTAGATAATTAGTGGAGCCTCAGACTAGTTGTGAGGCTTAGCTGGGGTTTGGAGATTGACAGTATGCTGTGAATGAGGAGCAGCAATTGTACAACCATTTGAGATCTGTCTTRTAAGTGCCACAGTTGTGTCCCCGCTGCTGCCGGTGTTGTGTGAAGTCCCAGGTGGGCTGGGACAGCAGTTGCAGGAAGGACAGGCTTGTGGTTGGCCCCAGCACGCTGGTGGCCGCCGTGGCTCTCTGGGGGCTGCCGTGGCTCTCTGCTGGCTGTCCGGCTGCCCGACTGCCCCCATCAGGTTCCCACCAGCCCAGGGTGTGCAAGAGCTCCTCAGGACGCCAAGTAGCTGAGGCTGGGACATGCTCACACTGCCCACATAAAGAGGACTTGAGGCAGCCTGGGTCTGCAGCTGAGCATGTGCTTGTGGGTAAATAACTGAGTGGAGAGTGAGCCCGTAGGTGGGAATGGGTTCAGACCTGTTCCCATGTGTCAGTGGAGGCATGTTCACATCCAGCTTGCTGCTTGGTAGTATCTGTGGCAGAAATTGATCTTGGGCTCTTCATAGACTAATTCTGATTTACTGTTTTCTCCTCAATGTGTAAATTTACTGCCTTCATAATATTTAACTTAAGCATTTAGTACTGTAACACAAAGGGGGTTTATGGTTTACAATGTGAGTCTGTGTTTTGTTCTTAATTTTTTCTTTGAGAGTCAAATACGTTTCCCCTCAGCAGATATTAAGTGTCAATTAGGAGACAACCATTCTTTCCCCGCCCCCCCGTCCTCCCCCCAAGCTGATTTTCTGAGTAGGGCATCCAATGAGATTAATTTTGCGAAGTGTTACTCATTCAGCAGTGAATGGAGAAATAGGAATTAGATGTGTTTAGTTCTTGCACTTTTCAAATGTCAGACATGCTGTCACAGATGTTTCCTAGCAAACCATTTCTGTGCGAGGAAGATGGAAAATCAGTGTTTAGAACCTCACAGAACTTGCAACTATAAGCTTAACTGAGAGGAATAAGAGTATCAAATGGTTAGGTTCCCCTATTTACGCTCCTGTGTCTCTGATGCTGGAGTCTGAGACCAGATCAAAGCAGAAGAGGAGGGAGGGGATTTTTTCCAGGTCACTTTAACTTGATTTTAATGGTCACATAACCTCTTCCCTGTGGAAGGATCAGCAGGGACACCATCATCCTTGTTTTTCTGGCTGGGACATCTGAAGGGGAAATGATATTACACTAGTTGACATTTGTTGTCAAATATTTTCACAAATATTAATCCAGTGCAGTGGTTACCTTATTTTTTTTCTTTTTGTTATTAGGAAGCAGCYAATTAAGCTGCCCCTTTTTTGTACACATACAAAATAGCACTTTCAAATGCTGATCTGGGAATTAATCCTGGGATGAACCTTCAATAATTAGTTTTTTTTAATCGGTGATTGGGACAGTATTAGCTA